ACAGATATGTGTCCATATGTAAACCATTGCGATATGCACCTCTTGTAAAAATGTCCACTGTGAAAAGACTCTTCTTTTTCTGTTGGATTGTGCCTTCTTGTGAAACTGGTGTAGGGATGATACTAACATACCAACTTAAGCTGTGCAAATTCCAAATAAACAGAATTTACTGTAATAATGGTGCAGTAGTTAAATTGAGTTGTGGAGACACATCTGTAAAGACTTCATATGGAATGATCATTTTTAGTGTTGCTGTTGTTGCGAACACTGGCCGGAACATGACCTCAAGTTGAATGTTTACTTAAACTCATCAACAACCAAAAGCTAAAAGCCTTTTGGCTCCAGCGAGTCTGGAGCTGGAGGTGTAAATCTGTCACTTATCACCCCCAACTCCCAAAATCAGTCGATTTACGGCTGAATCAAGAGGCTGACCTGGAGAAAAACAGGACCCTTCACTGGAATGCAGCTGCACGGCTCTCCAAAATCCTGTGGACAAATTTATCCTAAGTAACAGAAAGTACATTTCTAAGGTGTTTGTCCCCTCCAAACTGTTTGTTTGTACGACTTTGGACGGCAAAGTTACAACTTTCTAAATTCCCTAGGGATCTCAAGCATGGACCCACAGCACCCCCAAGGGGTGAAAACGAGGATTACCACGCCACCACCTAAGGATGGTTACTCACAAAGGATCCCAGGAAAACTCATTGATATGCATGCTTGACTATCAACTTTATCTAATTTCACAAGTGATGATGCTTGTATTTGTATACTCAGTTACTTAAAGTGTATTCATCCTTTCTTTGTCAGACGTTAGGAATGTGTGGGATAAATGTCTGAAGTTACCGAAATAACCATTTAAAGTAGTGATTTTAGACCACTATGCACCTAGGTTTTCTTGTCACTTATTTTATTTAGCCTTCTATATCTTTACTCTTCTCATTTATTTGATGTAGTCATTTGAAGTAATGATTTTACTGTGTTGGAAGTTCCTGCAATGAAAAGACACCCAAGGATTATCTATAAGATTGTTTCTGCCTTTGCCATAGTTGTTCTCAGATAATGTGGGTAGAAACTGCACGTAGATACCTAAATGTTAGGTTTGTAGGTTATGGATTTTAGTAACCTAATTGATCGGAAAACTGTTTTGTTCAATCGAATTAAACTTTTAAACCTAGAAGGAACAAAGGAGGGAGTTCCCTGGTAGGACAGAGAAACCCCCACCAATCAGGACCAAGAATTAGGAATAGCTAATTACCCGTTAGGTGAGAGAACCTATCAACACCTGGGTTCCACCCCTGAAGGGAAGGGCCTCCAGCTGAACAAAACCAGAGTGCACCGCAAAATTAGGAGAGTTCCTGCATTCGCAACAAGTTTCTAAGTTTGTGCCGGCCTAGGTCAGAAAGACAGGTCAGAAGTATTAGGACGCTAAATTATCAGATCTGAAACCTTTGTTTGTTTGCCTGTTCGCCTACACACCTTAAGTTTGAACCATCCTCAGAGAAGGAAGGTGGATATTTCTTGTCGGGCCAGGGAGGATATATCCAAAACTTTCGATTCTGCTAAAGAGAGGTAGTTAGTTAAATTAGTACCACCAGCCTCAGAACCCTGATTGCAACCTGAACCTCACCAGCGGAGTGGGAGCGGTTCTGACGCCACGGAGACCCAGCATCGCACCCAGAGCCACGCACTGATCTGTGAACAGATCGGCCATCGAAAGGCTGCCCAAGCTCCACCGTCAGATGGCCACGAGACGCCTCCGCCCAATCACTGACGGAAAGGCGCGTGCCCGCACGGAGATGCAGCATCCACGGCCAGCGAGGAGAGGAACCACCGCGTGAGCTCCAGCCTTCGATCGAGTCCGTCCTGAGACGACCCCTCCTGAAATCAGCCCCGACTCCCACGTAAGCTGGAACCATCAATTTGCAGTCAGGGCCCTGACGCCAATTTATTTAATAAGAGAACTTTTATAGGTACATCCAGCCATATAGTTCTTCCCGTCCAGGCTTAGGTTAATTCTCTAGAGGCTCTCCCAAGCGACTCCCCAAACCACACTGCCTCATACCATTTAGCCATGAATCACTCTAACTTACTCAAGCTATTTTGTCTTTCATTACTATCACTTTGTTTTGTTTTGTTTTCTTGTTTTATTTTCTATTGTTTATCATTGAATGTAGTCCAAAAGTAGTTTAAAATTTAGCCAATAAATTCCCTTTTCTGAAGCATCCTTGGTGCGAGCGTTTCTCTCTCTTGCCCTGGTCTGTAGACTTCAAATAAATCCGGGTTACCTCACACCCTCACATAAGGTTCTAGCAATAATAATATTAAAAATCGTAAAACCCGTTACACTGTATTTCCACCAGTGATCTTCATAATCTATTCCTATGTTAGATTACTCACAAAGGCAGTCTTCCATTCATCCCCTTTCTTAATACGAATGAGATTATAAGCACTACGGAGATCTAGCTTGGTGAAGCACTTAGCGCCTTGTGATTGCTCTAATGATACGGGGACTAATGGAAGTGGATAAGGGTATGGTTTTGAGATTGGGTTAAGGGCTCTGTTGTCTATGCAAGGGCGTAGACCACCATCCTTCTTTTTAATAAAGAAAAAACTGGAAGCTATCAGTGAAGTGGAAGGGCAAATGAACCCTTGCTGTAGGGCCTCTTTAATGTGAATATCTAGGGCTTCCTGTTCCTCTTGGATTAAGGGATAGACACGAGCTTTGGGGAAAACTGGGTCTTCATCTAGTTCAATGGAGCAATCATAGTCTCTATTTGGGGGCAGTTCTGTGGCCTTTTGTTTATTAAACACCTCTTTCAAGTCCAAGTACTTGGGAGGAATAACAAATGAGGCGTCAGCATTGGGACTTTCAATAGACATGGAGGAAATGGAGACAGGAGTGTGAAGACATGACTGGAAACAATAATCTGACCCCTTAGTCATAGTATGATCAGTCCATGAGATAGTAGGATTATGTTTCTCTAACCAAGGAAGGCCCAAGATCAGTTCAAACTCTGACTGTTCCAACACTAACAGGGAAATCGTTTCTTTGTGAACAGCACTCGTCTGCAATTCTATGGGTTTTTTGTGACTCGGGAGATGGTGCCCATCCCCACTGGTCCTCCATCAAGTGCTGCTACTTTCAATACCGTCGGGAGCTTCTGTACTCGGACCTGTAGTTGTTCCACCAGGTGGGCGTTGATGAAGTTGCCTTCAGCTCCGGAGTCGATCAGGGCTGAAATCACAAGAAAGTGGGGATGACGGTAAACAAATGCAGATGCAGGCAACAAAACTGATCTTGAAACCCACCCCTTTGTGGGAACACTCACCACATTAGCACGTATACTCCACGTGCTTTCCAGGGGTCGGCGCCTTGCTTTGTTGCAGTCGCGTTCTGCATTCACGCACTACATGCCCAGCCTTACCACAGTAAAGGCACAGCTGATTGGTGATGCGTCGTGATGAATCACATTGCATTGCTTCAGGCTGATCTGGAACCTGAGTTTGAGTCTGGACAGTGTTCTTTGATTGGTTTGTTCGTTCTTGGTTCTTGTGCGATGATACAGGAGATGATCCAATTTAATGGCTAACGTAATTAACTGATCTAGTGATAGGTCATCATCCTTGCTGGCTAATTCAGTCAGTATTTCTGGATTCAGTCCCTGCTGGAAGATCACTAAAAGAGCGGCCTTGTTCTAGCCGCTAATGTCCGAAATTCTAAAGAGTACTCCACCACTGAGCGATTGCCCTGACGTAACTTGGATTAAATTACACCAGTAATTTTACCCTCGTGTGGGTGATCGAAAACCGTCTTGAATTCCTTCACAAACTGAGTATATGAAAGACGGTGGATGTGACCCCAGCTAGCAGTAGCCCATTCTAAAGCTTTATCAGCTAGACGTGAAACTATGAACGATATTTTGGCTTGATCTGTGCTGGCAGGTGAGTTATCAAAATACACTGAACATTGTAGCAAAAACCCTCTGAATTTGTCAGGGTCCTCCGAAAAATTTTGGAATTCTGTGGTGGTTGTGGTCTCCGTGAAGCTGGAATTTATTTGAAATGATCAACAAATTTTTCTGTGAAGTGATAACAGAATTAGTGCATGAAGGACACTTTCAACCTGCAACAGTGAGGAACAGTGTGAATTAAGTAAAATTAAAAAAGTTTTTTCCATCTGCCTCACAAAGATGTATTCTGTATGTATTCTGAATATGTTCCTTTTTATGTTTGTAACAGAAGGTGTTGGAACAGTGCTCAATATTCAGCCATCATTACTTTTTCACAGTATTTTGCCCAACACTGCTGACAAATAGAGTTCTGAACCGTGTTATGAAAGTTTTATAATAGTACAATATGATTGTGTTGAATTGGTGTAAAATCACAGGACTTATGTTTGAAAGGTGTGCTCCACATTGAATATCTACTGGATTTCCCTATTCTCTTTGAAAGAAGCTCAAGTAGGAACTGAAACAGTCAGATTAAATGTGTTTCTTTCTTGTTTTTCTTTCAGTTTTTGACATGATGTCTTAATGCTAAATTAGCTGAAATATAGCTCAAGCAAGTGCATTTTCTAATTAACTACATTTTTATTTCTTAAACCTCCATTAAACCACAAAAAGCTATACCTAAGTTTGCTAAGTTTGACTTCACATGCATATACAAAATAAATCTAAATCATAAAAGGAACAAATATACTACAATTTTCTTATACATTTGCAATTAAATTTAAATTTAGAACAGTGAGAATGAAGGCTGGACTTCGCAATCTGTCAGTTAGTCAGTGAACCACTGAGGAATATGTTACCCATTGAAAATGTATAAATGGACGCAGACCTGTTTGCCTCACTACAGCATGACTGTACAGCAACGGAACATCTTCACTTTTACGCTTCTTCTCGATGGCACCTGATGGACCACTAGTAATAATTTTGTAAATGCTATTGGAACTAATCCACAAATCTGTTCTTAGAGATTCATGGACTACTTTATGGAAACTCATGGATTCTTCAATTAATATCACATACTTAACTCTAGAAGGGCATATAGAGTTGGAGAAATACAGATATGTTTACTTTGTGATTACTCTGATGGCCTATTTATTTATTATTTTTGTTAATGCTGTTGTTATTTCTGTCATATATGGAAACAAACGTCTTCATGAGCCAATGTACATTTTCATTGCTGCTTTACTTTGCAATGCTCTTGTTGGAACAGCTGCTCTTTACCCTAAACTGCTGAAGGATTTTCTATCTGAAACGCAGGTTATCTCTTACGAGGCCTGTACATTTCAGTCCTTTTTTATTTACACATATGGATCATCAGAGTTCACACTGTTAGCAGCTATGGCCTATGACAGATATGTGTCCATATGTAAACCATTACAATACGCAACTCTTATAAAAATGTCCACTGTGAAAAAGCTCTTATTTTTCTCTTGGTTTGTGCCCTCATTGGAAATTGGTATAGGAATGATACTAACATATCAACTGAAGTTGTGCAAATTTAAATTAAACAGAATATACTGTAATAATAATGCACTTCTTAAACTGAGTTGTGGAGACACAACTGCAAGGAATTCTTACGGATTGTTTGTTTTAGTCATTGCTGTGTTTCCACCTGCAATCTTTATCGCCTTTTCATATGTTAGAATACTTGATGTCTGTTTAAAGAACTCAAAAGAGTTCAGAAGAAAAGCTCTACAGACCTGCTTCCCACACATTTTGATTTTTGTCAGTGTCACCATTACATCTTGTTTTGAAGTTATCAATAGCAGGTTAGAAGGAAGTGTACCTCATATCGTTTCCATGATAATGTCAGTTGAAATTCTGGTTATTCCTCCTGTAGTCAATCCAATAATATATGGACTGAAGCTGAAGGAGATTTGGAGTAGGATTAAGAGAATGATTTTGAAAAGAAAGACGCATATATCATTTTAAAGGCACATGATTTCAGAATCCTGTTAAATGTATACCTTAGCCTTGATAAGACAGACCTACTTTCATTCGTCACCTGTATTTTTTCTTGCTGTTCAATATATTGAAAGCATCACTGTAGTAGATAGTAGTCTGTAGTATCAGTAGGAATTAGAAAAAGACGAAAACTACTGTAAGTACAGCATTTTTTTATACACATCATTTATTTTTTCCTATTGATGCAACATTCTGAAGATGCTGAGTGGATATCTGCATTTCTGCAAGGATTTTTAAGAGAATGTTAGGCCCTTTGGGTTTTAAAATGTGATCATAATATATTAATCGGAAAGTTTATGGGAATGGGAAATTCATGGAATTTAAAAAAAAGATGTTGCTGGTTTTCAATTTGTAAATGTATGGTAATTATGTTATGTTCCTTTAACTGTTAAAATTGTATGATAAAACGAAAAATCAAAGCAGTAGCCCCCTCTGTTATACTAAAATTGAATATATATGTACTTTAAATGTTTTTATAATGTCCTCTTAATTGATGTAATTAGTAAACTCCATGTCCTTTATTTTTTTGTCACAAAAAAAAAACTGAGAAAATACCTTTTTCACGTTTACACAATGTTCCCCTAATCATAAATGTAATTTATCAACCAAGATGCTGCCCACAGTTAGTAAGGCCTGCCTAGCTTATATATAATAACCTAACCAAACCATGTAGCCAACATCATGAATGCATATAAACCCTTAATGTTACATTTAAATTGCATTTGTTGTATTCTAAAATACATCTAAAATAATTCTGGTTTTTCATTTATAAGTACTTCAGTAAATACTTCTACTGAAAGAAACTGGAAAATCAACTGCAAATATTAAATCTTGATCCTTAAGATTTAGGACTTGATCAATAACCAGAGTCAAATTTGAATGAAATTGAATATTAAACAAAACTTCAAATGGATTGAAGAAAATAAAACACCTGATCTCCTGTGCCTGATAAGAACTGCCTTGGGGTTTCAGACTGCACACTGATTAAAAGTGATATAGCTGTGGCAATGCAAACAACCCCATTGTTTTTTATTATTATTATTTTTTAAAATTTTTTATTTTTATCTGGCTGTAACAAAGATGAGTCACCACAAGTGGGATCCAAGTGGTAGCTGATCTTTATTGATGAAGCCAGGGCAACAGCCCAAAAAACATTCCAGAGCCAGCTCATCCATACGGAAAAAAATTATATGGACATGTATTTTTATGTGTTTGATATACATTTAAAACACACTACACTGTATTTCAGAATATATTTCCCAATTTCCAACAATTGATGAGCTATTAAACACGTGTAGCACCTCAAAGAAAGAGACAAACTCCTAAACCAATGGTAAGAGAGCTTCACTCTCTACCTCATTGTCAGCAGGAGCTTCACCCACCCTGCTTCACTGAAAGGGAAGAGGTCACCCCATCTTTGAGTAATCTGGAAAATTAATACTTTTTGGGTCCATGCTGCTACAGTGATGATGTCAGCAGTATGTTTTCAAAACAAGCTCGGACTCTGTCAGAAATCTCCCCCATTCCAGTACTTATCAGAAACAGAAAGAACAGGGAGTACATCACATTTTCAAAGAGAAATATTTGGTGTGGTTGTGAAAATAATTGCTGTGATATGTCGATTATGCAGAAATTGTGTGATATGAGCTGGTTGTCTTATCCCCATGAATGTAAAAAAGGCTACAATGACAACTAATTGTGTAGTATTACTCACTTCTGCTGTAATAGTTGCTAATGAATAATTTTTGTATCAACTGGAAATGTAACATTTTATTTATGGGTAATTACAGTTTGGTACCATTATTATTATGATTATTATTATTATTATTATTATTATTATTATTATTATTATTATTATTATTTGCATTAGCAGCTAGTTATTGCAATTACTAAGTTATTGTTTGTGAACAACTAGAAAATTATTGTGTAATTTTTTTTGATAAGTACAACTTGTTGCCACAATATTAGCATATCATTACCTCCTTATTATTGATCTGTAAAGGAAAGTGCTACTGGTCCATTCATTGTTGTTACAACATGATCTTGTCACTCAAACACATCGAATGAACGTATGCAATAGAAATTTTAGAAAATTTGTTTATTTTAGACAATGGAGTGTTGCAGTGTGTAGCCCTGTCGCCTCACAGCAAGAATGGCCTGGGTTCGATTCCCGGCTGGGCGACCAGGGTCCTTTCTGTGTGGAGTTTGCATGTTCTCCCCGTGTCTGTGTGGGTTTCCTCTGGGTGCTCCGGTTTCCTCCCACAGTGCAAACACATGCATTCAGGGTAATTGGACACTATGCATGAGTGTGAGTGTGAATGTATATGTTTGTCTTTCTGCCCTGTGATGGACCAGCAGCCTGAGCAGGGTGTATCCTGCCTTCTGCATAAAGACTGCTGGGACAGGCTCCGGCTCCCCCTGCGACCCAGAAGGATAAGAGGCTTAGGTAATGTGTGTGTGTAACTTTTGCAGTCATTAGATGCTGGCCATCTTTAGAAAAGTGTGAAAGAGGGCTGGACTTTGTGATCTGTCAGTTAGTCTCTAATACACTGAGGTAAATGGAACCAGTTTATAAACAGACTCAAAGTTGTTTTGTGCACCACAGATGGACTTTACTGCCACATCTTCATGGTGCCTGACTGACCACCACAAAACAGCTAGTGTACTTGCTCCAAGAACTTCTCAGAGATTTACAGATTACTTTAAGGAAAAGCATGAATTCTTCTCTTAATATTACATACTTAACTCTGGAAGGACATGTGGAGTTGGAAAAATACAGATGTTTATTTTATAATGACTCTCACAGTCTATCTACTGATAATTTATTTTAATGCTGTTGTCATTTCTGTCATTTACTCAAAGAAATGTCTCCATGAGCCGATGTACATATTTATCGCTGCTTTACTTTGCAATTCCCTCTTTGGGCTTTTTATCCTAAATTACTGAGTGATTTTCTGTCTGAAATGCAAATAATCTTGCGTGAAGCCTGTATATTTCAGTCCTTTGTTATTTATTCAAATGGTGCAGCAGAGTTTGCACTGTTATCAGCTATGGCCTATGACAGATATGTGTCCACATGTAAACCATTACAATACCCAACTCTTGTAAAAATGTCCACTGTGAAAAACTGGTGCAGGGATGATACTAACATACCAACTTACATTGTGCAAACTCAAACTAAATAGAATTTACTGTAATACTGGTAAAATTACTCATAAGTAGTTACAGCTAGATGCATAGCACATTATAAAGGAAGAATATATGATTTTATAGTTAGGCTCCATAATGTATTGCAATGTGCATTCATAAGATTATTTTATACACCATTGTTGTGATGCACTATAACACAGGTTTTGGTATACCTTTTGGTATCAGCCTACTACTGCTCAGTGACAACACTGGTACCTGTTATTACATGTTGCATAAAAAGAGGAAGCAGGTGGTCCTTGAACACAGGATTCATAGGTAGTGCTACTCATTAGTTAATCAGAATTTGAAAATGTACAAATGTTTATAAATGATAGCTCATGTAGTTGTTGATGTGTGTCTTCATTTTTATAAATCATGTAAGTGGTTTCCTCTACATTAATAACAAAACCTTTTATTAATAGACATCGAGATGTACAGCATCAGCTCATGTATAGTGGTTTATTGAAGATATGAGAAGTCAGTCAGAAAAAACATGCAGAGTAGATATCTCAGAAAAGTTACTCATTCTGTTCAGATAGACAATAATGCTCATGCTCATATGCAACTAAACACTTATCTCTCCTTTTTGTCTGATGTTTATTATAATCTCAATTATGTATCTTGAGACATGAAAGAGCAGCACTGGCTGAGTTTCTTTCTCTAGCAGAGTGATGCTAGTTAATCAAGGGAACCTGCATATTACAGTAAATCACAACCACAAGTTTTTGGAGGCTATTCTTTTCTCTCATGGAACCCTTGAAACACATTTGGGAAAGACTCAAATTATCAGCCAATAAAGCAACATATCAATGTGGCAGACCGCAAGCCCTCTCTTTGCTAGTGAGAGTAGCTTTGTTTGTGAGATGTGTAAGTTAGTTTTTTGCATGACTGAGAAGATTATACAGTTAGGGATGTGCAGAAGTTAGAAAAGAGCAGGGCTAGTCAAACAGGGCTCAGACTTGCTGTTAGCAGCTCTGGGTATCTCAGGGAGAGCTAGCACACCTCGGTCAGATACTATGTTTGATGGTAACCCATGGATCCAATCAACATGGTGGAGGAGTAGCCTTGCGATCTACTTAGCAGAAGGAAGTGCTGATAGTGCGATAAATTTGCAGGTTTTGGAGAACAAGTCGACCACCACCATGATTACAGAGTAGCCTTTGGATGCAGGCAACCCTGTGACAAAATCCATTGAGAGGTGGGACCATGGACATAAAGGAATGGGTAGAGAGTAGAGCAAACCTGTTGGTCTTGCCCTAGGTTCCTTGTTATGGGCACAGACTTGGCAGGCTGCTACAAAAGCCCACACCTCCTGTTCCATGTGAGGCCAGCAGAATCACCTTCTAAGTAACTCCATGGTGCAGGTAACCCCTGGATGAGCCATGAATGATGAGGCATGCCCCTACTGAAGGACTTGGGACCTAACAGAAGTGGGCACATAGAGCCTGTCTGGTGGTCCTCCACCAGGGTCTGGCTCTCTCTGGAGTGCATTCTGAATGGCGCCATTTAACATCCACTGGATTGGCGCCACGACCTGTGAGTTGGGGTTAATGATCTCAGAAGAGCAGTCAAGGGATGGATGCTCCCACTGATGGGAGAGGGTGTCTGGCTTGGCATACTTCGAACCTGGTTGATATGACAGGGCAAAGTTGAACCGGCCGAAGAAGAGTGCCCACCTGGCCTGACAAGGATTTAACCGTTTGGCCTGCTGGATGTAGGCCAAGGTTTTTATGCCCAGACCAAGAACTAATGCTTGGCCCCCTCCAGCCAGTGCCTCC